ATTACGTTGAAAAATAAAAAAAAAAAGTGAAAAACTTGTGTCTTTATTCCTAACACAGGTACTTATTGATCGACCCTCGTATTGTTGTTCAATTGTTTCACTATAGATTTGATCACATACATGTTAAGTTTCATATGATTTATTTCATGAGATGAAAGCAGGGTGGCAGTAGATTGGAAATACAGATGAGAGTTATTTAATATTGTGTGTTGTGTAGAGAAGAATACAAGCATGGTAGTATACTGCGCAAGTGTTATATTGATTTGGTTAATGGCTGAAGCATATTTATGCATTATGTATGTTTACTGATAGTTCACACAAACATAAATTATGTATCAACAATCAAAACCTAAACCTGACATTTTTTTTATAACTCAGTGGTCTTTCAAGTGATAGTGAACATTAACCTGTAAGAGCCGAGCGACGCCATATGGCCTCATTAAAATAAAGTCAAGGGGACGAATGACGCCATATGTCGTCGCACAGTCCACGCGTGCGGCCGGCTTTTTAAAATCTAATTTCAAGTTATATATTCTTTTTCTACTTACATGATTTTTGGTCACCAGCTTTATAAGTTGTCTCTCTTCCCACCTGCGTCATCTAATGGAATGTTGGCTTCGTGTGGAAATCTTGGAAACATCCGGAAATGCAGAGTCCCACATCACACTTCACGCACTTTATCCGGACGGTTCTTTGTTTCCCACACGAAGAGCACACTCGATACCTCAATTTCGAAGTAGAGGAAGTCGGCCAGTGCTGTTGTTTGGCCTCCTCTATTCGAAATGACCCCGATGAAACGGCAGGGGTTCGACCCCTGGGCCGTTGAGGGCGAAGTGAACCCCTTCCAGCATGTTCCGCACAAGAGCGAGACAAAATTCTCTGTGTGACAACAGGATGTAACTGTTCAGATCCAGGAGATGGAAAAATAGTTTATTTGTCCATTTCCAGGTTCGACGACAGATGCTTAACTGTTTGCCACAGTTTGCCCACAGCTCCACCTGAATAATTATTCACACTCCTCTTGCCACACTGGTGTGGTGGTCCCCAGGTTGCCGACGAAGATGATGGTTCTTCATCGACTTCAATTTCTGATTCACTTTCTTCCTCGCAACTCTCAGAGTCATCGGTACAACAGTCTGAATTGGTGTCATTTATAAGCTGATTCTCAATTTCAGCGTCTTCAGATACGAGGCCATGGTGGACAGCTAAACACAACGCTAGCCTTGAACGTTCTGACACTGCTCGGCTATATTTCAAAACAGACTACTTCTTGGTTGGCTATATGAGATAAAACACAGTCAGTGTTTCTGTGAACGATTAGACATCGCCCACACTCGTGCATACCGAAAGGAACCTACGAACTGGAGAATGATGAATGAAGCGTAAACATCCGACCCTGTAGCCACACAAGCCATAGTTAGAGCATGATGTCACCAGCAGGCATTCAGACTGCAGAAATGTTTTGTGCAGGAGCTGTATGCATTTTTGTGCACAGACGTTCGAAATCGAGGGAAAAATTTTTTTGGCATCAGTGTAAAAATTTTTAGAGATTTTAAAATCGGTAAATTACAGTAACTGATTCTATATTCTTTCTAGATAAAAGCAGCGTTTATTTCGTTCGTTTATCACAAAAATTGTAGAAATCACAGCATTTTGAGTAACATGATTACAATTTTTATTACTCTACAATGACGGGCATTTAAATTAAATCCGTCCCTGCTGCCACTACCGGAATTTAAATGGCTATCTCTTAAAGGTTAATGAGATTTATGTTGTCAGGCAAGTTGTTTGTTGGCCAGGTGTATGGCCTTTTTGTCTGTTACTCTTCTAATGTTCTCTCTTGTTAATTTATTATTGCCAGTTTTAAATTCTTATCACTGTGTGAAAATTTTAAATGCCAGGTTGTAATATATAACTTCTTAGTAGGTAGCATGATCAGACTGCTGTATTACTTTTAACAGGGTACATATGCAACTGTGTTCAAAGGGAAATCACGTCTGACAGATAATTTAGTAGCTTTAAAGGAAATTCGGTTGGAGCATGAGGAGGGAGCTCCATGTACAGCCATCCGAGAAGTATCTTTGTTGAAGGAACTCAGGCATGCTAATATTGGTAAGCAGATCTCATGTTTGAATTTCTTTTAAGGGTGTGAAAGTGGTAATATCTCTTCGGATTATGCCTTGGTCAGGGCACTGTGGATCCTGGCTAGGGTTATCCATGATTTTTCTCAATCTCTCCGGGCAAATTCTGGTATTACTACCTGAGGTAGTGCACAGTGGTTCTCTCCCCAGTCTTTCCCAATTCATTGTACATCATTATCATCATGAGAAATAACCTTTGCCTTTGATGCAGCATCATTAACCTTTATCATCCAGAACTGGGGATTTAAATGCTTAGACTGGTGGCCAGATTTTAACTTGTTGGTTTTAAATTGTTAGGATGTTAGTATTGAAGAAAGGCATGCAAAGTAGGGCAAAAGTCAGGACACACTTGAAATGAGGATAGCAGTAGTCAGTCATATCATTCGGTTGCTTACTTTACATGACTCCCCTTACCAATATCTTGACAATGTCACAAGTATGCACTCCTTTATGGCTTTGAGGATTCAGAATCACCACAACTTTGCAGCCCAGCCAGGACACTTGAAATCACCCCAATTCAAAGTCTGCTGTCAATGTTAGTATCAGTAGAAGTATTCTCATTGTAACTCCTCAGATTTTCAGTTGTCCTGGGTTTATGTGTGAAAACTTGTCTTTGGCCAGTCTCAAAAAGAAGAAATCTGTCAATGTCACTTCAAGGAATGCATCCTATTGTGTTAACTTATGCTGATTGTTTGTTTATCCATCACAACACAACTCTCAAGAGTCTCATTCACATCAACTGTGTATAATGAGTTTATTGATTTATATATATTATATTTATGTATATATTATTTATGGATGGGGGGGGGGGGCACACGGTAGCATAGTTGGTTGAGACACTATGCTACAAGCCGGAAGGTTGCAGGATCAAATCCTGATGAGGTCATTGGACTTTCTAAATTTATGTAATCCTTCTAGCTGCACTATGACCCTGGCGTCGACTCAGCCTCTAACAGAAATGAGTACCAAGAATATTCTTGGGGCTAAAGGGTGACTGGCGCATAGGGCTGACAACCTTACCGCCATCTATGAGCCGATTATGTAGAAAATGTGAGAACCTCAACATCTCACAACTCTGTGGGCCTCCACGGCCTGTGACAGGGATACCTTTAGTTTTTGTATGTATATATTATTTATATATTATATAACAAAAACAGAAAGCCCCCAAAAAGAATAACAGAATCACCTTTTTTGGGCCAGAGACTAGAACAATTACAAAATTATTCATGAATACTGGAATTGGAATATATAGAGCCGAGAATAATGTAAAACATTTATTAGGAATAAAAGAAAACAACACTGGAAAGTATATCAATTATAATATGCAGATTTTCCATGAAAATATGTAGGACTAACAGGATGAACATGTAAAACTAGATTCAAAGAAAATATAAGAGATATAAAGAATAAGGGACAAAACTCCATAATTTCCCAAACATATATTAGATACTACACATAAATATGAAACACTAGAGAAGGAATGAAAATCTTACATATAGAAAAGAAGGGTCAGGTGTTGGATACTCATGAGTGATTTCATGTACACGAAATCAGTAATCAGAACATACAATTGAATGATCATTTTGCCAAGACATAATCCCATATACAACGTAATAATAAATGCCTACCAAAGTATAGGAGATGATGAACAACCAGACTAACCGATCCCATCTCTCTCTCACAAACACACACACACACACCCCACTATAACGTGTCCCTCCTACCTAAAATTTAGTAACAACACATACCACTAGACAGTTGCAAGCTGACTTTTAACAGAACTGGACGTTGAAACGTGAAAAATAGAGGAACACATAAAATAGTAAGTAGACAGCATAACTTGAATACAAATGATAGACCAGTATATCAGTCAGCATCAGATTAAACTGGAAAGGAATAATGAAAAAGTTTATTATATTCTGTATATTAATTATTTACATAAAAAACCAGACTGGAAAATAACAGTGTACATCACACCGACTGGTTCCAAACAACACAACTGCTTCATAAGAGAATTAAATAGAAATAAGAACCAAATCGTAACCAGAACAATGTCTGTAAATTACTACATAGTATAACATCATGATTGCAACAACAAACATTAATGTGTAATAATCAGGGTCTGGATTTTTTGAAAATGCATATGCGCATATGCAAATGCATATTTTGAGGGTTTTTGGTCATTGCGTATTCTAAACGTAGGAGCATATTTCTGCATATATGTTTGAAATTAAGGATAATTTCAATATTCTCTAACAAAATCGGTTTTGCCTGTGTTTCGGACATCCCTTGCCAGTTGCTATTCTCAGCTCTCAGAGTAATGGCACTTTTGCCACAAGCAGGTAGCTTGGCTATTTCAAAAGGGAGGTGGTGGGATTTTCCTACATTCCATTGACCACCACAGCAGACAGTAACATTAGAGGGTTGCTCTTGAGAGAAGTCTCTTCAGTTAATGTGTTACTCTTTTCTTTAATAGTCTGCATCAAAAAAGTGTTCGTGTACTGAAAATGCGTAAAGAAAAGTGCAGCATCAGGTATTTAAAAATTTGGTGGGTGTCGGGTAATAGTGACTATTCAACAGACGGTGTTGTCGTGTACTGTCAAGTTTGCACAAAGGAAGTAAAATGTGAAAAGAAATTCAGCTTGAACAACACTCAAGAACGACTGCACATATTACGGTAAAGAAGGGGAAGAACAGCACACCACAACTACTTCTTACACAGGTCAAACCCAAGTCCTCTGTTAATACATTTTTCAGCTGATCTTTGTAAGCTTTAGTATGCAGGAACTCTTCCATGGAATAAATTAAGCAACCCAGTTCTGCAATCATTTCTGGAGAAATATTGTGTAATTAAAAAAATCCGAGATGAATCAACTCTTAGAAAAATTATCTACCTTTGCTGTATGAATCTACTCTGGAGTCAATCTGTTTTGACATTGGAGGGAACTGTGTCTGGCTATCAGTGGATGAGACAACCAATTTATGTGGCTGATACATAACAAATTTCGTAGTTTGTAAGCTACATGCAGACGAACCTGGCAAACCTCATCTTGCTTGCAAAGTACTAGAGAAAACCAACCATAGCACAATAGCAAAATTTGTAAATGATTCTCTGTGACTACTATGGCCATCTGAAATTGAGAATAATTGTTATAAGGTGCTCGTTTTACTCACAGATGCAGCTTCCTATATGTTGAAAGCAGCAAAGGCCTTACAAGTATTTTATCCAAATCCTATACATGTAACCTGTTTAGCTTACAGATTACACGCACAGTTTCCAGCTGTTAATGATTTAATTGCAAGTGGGAAAAAACTGAAAGCACCAGCTCGTGTCCAGTTCTCCAAAGATTGCCTACCTCAGGTTCCTCTGCCACCTGAACCTGACCTAACTAGGTGGGGGACATGGTTATCCACAGTTTCCTTTTAGCAGGAGAATTTCAATCAAGTTATAGAAGTGGTTACAAAACTTGAAGATGAGTATGCATGTGTCCGTGAAGCATAAGTGGTGTTTGGAAGTGATACTGTTTATCAAGATGTGAATTTTATCCATGCACATTTTTCTATGGTTTCAAAAGCCATTGAGAGCTTGGAATCTTGTGGTGCACTCCTTCACGACTCACTTGAACTCGTTCAGAAAGCAGCTTGTTCACTGAATTCTGCTCCAGGCGAAATTGGAGAGAAGATTAAATGCAGGTTAGAAAAGGTGTTGAAATCGAACCCAGGACTAAAAAAGATTCAGTCAATTAGTCAGTACTTGAGTGGAGTTAGGGTATCTTTGCCAGATGAATGTTCTGAACCTTTGACTCCAGTGTATAAATACTGTCCAATCACATCAGTTGATGTAGAAAGATCATTCTCAGCCTATAAACTCATTTTGACAGACAATAGACGTAGTTTGTCTCCAGAAAACATTGAAAGACTTCTAGTTGCCTATTGTGATGCTACTTTCTGCAGTGAATGATACATGTAAATAGGTGAGTCTGAATAAAGTGACCTGTTTCTTAAGTGCATATTTTTTTTATTTTTGGTGCATATTTTCCTGCTTTTTAGCGCATAAAGATTCGGGCCCTAGTAATAATACACGATACGTCTAAACACGACGTAGTAATATCATAAATCAGCGTCTAAGGGGATTTTGTAATTTTATATCTTTATAATTATTTATTTCTATTTTATACTTTTGTATGACCATCTGAAAACGTTAATTAACATAAAGCTTTTATCCTAGTTAAATGGATATATGGAACAGTAGTTGCTTTAATTTTGATNGTCGATCTTCAAGTGCGTTAGCAAAAATCAGGGTGTAAAAGGAAGCATGTTGTGTTAAGTATTCAACAGAAACTCGTGTGAGCCGGGCTTCGAAATGTTAAGCAGTGACGAAACTGTAAGGCCACCCATACACACACAGTTTGGCCTTCCGATCGACCCTACGGGCAAAACTGTGACAGTTTACCCCCTCCCTTTCCTCCTCATACATGCGCAGATAAAGCGGCAGGCTTCATGCCACAATCACGGTCTTCCAGCCTATAATGCTGAGTCACGCACGTCACGTGCTACGGTCCTGCAGGTAGAACTGACGGACTGATGGGTTTCCCACAGGCCAACAGTCCAAACGATTGGCCGGCCGGCCGCACCACACACGTCAGTTTTGCCTTTCAGTCTTCAATTGTGCAGGCCAAACTGTGTGTGTAAGGGGGCCTTAAGTTCAGTGGGGGTGCAGCCAGAAGAACGGAAAGAAAGTGAGAATGAGGAAGAGTTGGACAGTGCTACTAGTAAGAAAATATCACATGGTGCTGCTCCTAATCATTTGGAATCCTTACTAGACTATCTTCAGAGTGAAGAGAACAGTTTATTAAGTGACAAGCTAATATTACATAGGCTTCGTATGGATATCATTAAAAAGGAAAATGCCGCGAAAAAGCAAACGACA